CTTACAATTATTACTCTATAATGGTGGTTATATGTCAAATAAAAATGGGCTTGTATGCTGCTATAATGGACAACATAGAAGAAAGAAATTCAACTAATTTCTTTAATCACTTGTATTATTCTTTTCCTTCATATTTTTTAATCTCCCAATTACTTGATCTTGCGCCTTCCAGTTGGAGGGGTGACAAATGACCATCTTGACCAATAGGCTATCAGTTGTGGTCGAGATAAACACTAATAATGATGATGATACATGGCGTTTTTTTTTTTTTTTTCATAGAAGGATAATTACAATGATCTGCCCTTTCTTGGGGAAAAAATATATAAGAAAAAGCTGTACTAGATCTCTTCCATTATCACACATTCACACCTTTTCAAATCTGTGCTGTTGGTGGAAGCATACTGCGAAGAAAGAACATTTCCAGTGAAATAATATAGCAGTCGCCATACAAGAAAGCCTTTATGGACCTCCATGGCTAGAATGATTATTACTCCTCCCACATGCATTGGGTCCCATATTGATAGCACCTTGATACTACATTGGTCCACTAATGACATTTACTTTAATAATCATTACTTTGTGTACTATTATATGTCACTTTGTGTACTATGACATTGAATTAAATTGGACTCGATCAAATTTAATAGACATCTAAATATTGTAATAAATTAGATTGGAATTTTCAATAGTGCATTAATGGCCAGACTTGAATAATTCACATGAATTATTCTATTTCCTACAATGTTTACATCTTTGGAATTTGGGAGAGCAGGTGATTACTTCACAAAATCCCAAATATTTATGTTTATTCTATTTCAATATATATGTGTCATATTATTACTGATCAATATATATATATATATACTATTTATAAAAATACGAATATTAAAATGCCACATTTTTAACATTTTAATAAGAGAAGGAGTAATTGTAAGTATGTAATTTTGTTTTCTCATTTAATGCTTATTACAAAAAGAGACACAACTCCTTTCTTTTTGTTCATAATTGTAAAACAATTCAATGACAAAAATGTTATTTAGCATTCCCATTTAATGCTTGTTAGGGAAAATATACAAAAGTCCCTCTTTTGTTCGATACTTAGAAAACAAACCATGGTAATTGTTGAAACCTCCCATAAAGTTTTTATTGCCCAAACCTCCTTTGAAGTTTGATAATTGCAATCACCCCCCTAAACTTCTTGACATAGTTGCAAGTAGATCCCCTTTGTAAAATCCTTTAACAAGAGGTATGAAAATGTCCAAAATACCCATATAATTATTATTGAGGCTGGTTTATACATAAAAAACAACATAAATGTTATGAGCAACAAAAAAAAGAGAGTTTAAAGTTGCAATTTTACCTTTGAGCAATTGGTATGAAGGGCAAATTTGAAAACTACATCAATTCTGAAAAAAGAGATTAGAAGGGATTGGGGTAGTGATTGATATGAAGAAAAAATTCAGAAAATAAACATTTTGGTCAAAAGTAACTACATAGTTATTTTAAACATTTTTGTTCTTTTTGTTAGAAGATTCTAAGAGAGGGCCTACTTGCAATTGTGTCAAAAAGTTCATGGGAGGTGATTGCATTTACCAAACTTTAGGGGGGGTCAGCTATGGTAAAAAATTTTACAGGAGATTTTGGCAATTTATCCTTTCATTTATTTAAATTAAAAAAAAAAATAACTGAAAGTACATGTTATATTCTCAATAGCCAATGTTGGGCCACATTAACTACCATGAAGAGATTTACAACTTGCAAATAGATAAGTAATGGTTTTTTAAAAATCATTTTTAACCAATTTTCATTGGCTCAGTTCTTAATCATTAAGGTAGCAAATGATTTTCTCTTCTTTATTCCCACCATATGGTGGGCTAATTTTTCATTTTCGTTACTTTAAAGCCCACATCATTGGATGGCACGATATCTACAAGAGTAAGTGATATTTTTTATAGCAATTCATTGTAAAGTTTTCAACGGCTGAAGGAGCTAAAATTGAATTTATCATATAGAAGTTAATTCTTGCAAAGATAACGAAAATTCAAATAAAATTCTAACAAAGGTAACTGATAAAACTTATTAATTTTATTAATAAACCATAATAAATAAGAATAATAAGAATTTTACTAATGATAAATAAGAATAATAAGAATTTTATTCATTCTCTTGACCTTTGCAAGAATTTTATTTGGATATATCTTTATATTAATGAACCATAATATATGTGAAAATAAGAATAATTTTTATAGATGTAGAAATATAAAAAATTACAAAAAATTGGAATGTTTGTGTATATATATTATATATATATATATGTGTGTGTGTGTGTGTGTGTCTCATATAAGACAAAGCACCTTTGAGAATAAAAAACATAAAAAAATTGTTTTCATCAAAAGTTTTATAAAAATTAAGATAAAATAATTATAACCATTTTTTACTTGATGTTCAACCAAATAAGAAATTACTTAAAACACCTATATGGTTCTGATGAAGAGTTAGAAAAGTTATTTGAAACAGTTCTCACTACTCATCTTTGCTAGTAATGGATGCCCTCTCGGAAGTAGCTTGCTTGTTAGTGTAGCATGTGAGGAAGTGCTGTAATATTCAGTTCAGTGCAAGTGTATGCACCACCGCACGCATTCAAATTTCATCTCATAGATTCGAACAAACAGGGATGTTGCCAAAAAAACAGATTCAAACAAACAAGACTATGGCAGGAAAATGCAAATCATAATTTAACCCTTTAACACTAAAATGTTTTATATGGGTTATGAATTGACGAAAGAAATAAAATATTTGACAGCCATTGGCTTTGGATTGGCCTACTGCGAGTGTGGAATCCTGCCCCAGAAGATTCTCATAGGTGGTACACAAGCACATTGAATAAAACACTTCAAATAATGACTTACAAATTAAAATCATTCCAAAGTCTTCAGATCTGATCCAATTTCAAAATTCGAGTACTTTGTCAGTTGAAAATTCTCAATTATTTTACAAGTAAAAGGTTTTCTATTTCCTCACCAAATCACACATTGTGAAAGAGTTTCATTGTACAAAGAAAAAATAAATGATTTTGGACAATGATATCCTATGGAAAAATGAGTCACATTCATAATTTCCTTAGGTTGCGTTTGGAAACAATGCAAATAAGTGTGAATGCAAATATGTTGAGTGTAAGGACACCAGATTTTGGGTTTCCTCCTCTTCAGGTGTTTTCTCTTGTGCCTCATTTTTTGAAACTTTAATTCAGTCTTCTGATTCCATTGGGTTGTCTTTCCCGGTTAAAGAAATTTGGAGTAGATTCATTCCTCCTCGGATTGCTAGTTTTTGCTGGGAAACTTTTCTGAAAAGAATTAACACAAATGACCTACTTCAGAAAAAGAGACCCAACTCTTGTTTACTTCCTAATAGATGTACTCTCTGTAAAACTGATGGGGAAACTGGTTACCACCTTATGGTTACCTGTTCGATTGCTAAATCAGTTTGGGATGGGTCTTTTCCCTTTTTGGGTGCATTTGGATACCCCCTGGGAGTGTCCAAAGCTTGTTCTCTCCCTCCTTTTTCAGATGGCCGAAGAAGAGAGGGAAGACTATGTGGAGAAGCATCAGGGCTACAGTGTGTTGGACTCTATGGAAAGAAAGAAACTCACGAATATTTTCAGATAAGGAAAGGACCATTGGAAACTTATTAGATCTAATTCTGTTAAGGGTGGCACATTGGTTGAAAACCATGAAACTATTCTCATATTATTTTGTGGCTGATTTGGTGAGAAATTGGAAGGAAATAGCTTCCTCTGCCCTCTGTAAGAGGAGCTGTAGTCCTTTGTAGTCCCCTCTTCCTTCTGGGTTCATAAAACTAAATTTTGATGGCAGCTGTTTAAGGAACCCAGGGCCTTCTGGGATTGGGAGAGTATTCAAGAATGAGGTGGGGGATATTATTGCTATGTTTTTAGGCCCAATTGGGGAAGGAGACTCTCTTAGGGCTAAGATCCTCGCAGCCCTGGAAGGCATCGGAAGAGCAAGGGAGATGAACATTAGATGTTTAGTCCTTGAAGGTGACTCGGAGGTGGTGATTAGGTGGCTAAAAGGGGGAGTAGCAGCTTATGGAGTTATAACAATGAGAAGAATAAATTTAAATGGCTGAATAGGGATATGGTGGTTAATTACAATTGGGTGAAGAGGACTGCTAATTCCTTTGTTGATGAGTTAGCAAAACAAGGGGTGAATTTAAATGGCTGAATAGGGATATGGTGGTAAATTACAATTGGGTGAAGAGGACTGCTAATTCCTTTGTTGATGAGTTAGCAAAGCAAGGGGTGAATAGGGATTCGATTTTTTGGGCTAATCTTTTATTTTTTCCTTGTACTCTTTGATAGGGAGTTAAGTCTTTTTACCTCCCCTTTGTACCTAAGCTTCACATAGTTTCATATATTTAATAAAGTTTCTTGTTATTGATCAAAAAAAGAAAAATGAATCATATAAATTGCAAAGTTGGGTTAGTTTTACACTAACTTCTTACCAAACAGACTTTTAGCTATAATGGATGCAAACACGAATTCCAATAAAGCATAGGCCTTTTTTATCAAAAATCCCACTTGAATGCAAATTTACTTCTTTTTTATTGATGTACTTTTACATCTTATTATCAATGTAAATATGCATTGGAAAATATGTTTTCTGTCATTTGTCAATGCATAAATGTAATGTTGCCAAACACAGGAAAAAGTGAACCAGAATGCAAATTTACCCTAAACCGGGATTATGCAGCCTTAGTGTTTCCTTAACCTGAATTGTTGAGAAATGCATTGGTGTTATATATGTCCAGAAGACCAGCCTCTATCAGATAACGAGTTACAGAAAATTATAAGTAATGGCATTTTCCTACTAGTATTCACTTTGAAAATGTTCATTTTTCGCATCTATTTTATATGCAACCGAAAACTAGGTAAAAGTAGTTCTGTTTTTAAGGATATCATTTGTTTTCCTTGCGTGCAACAATAGTTAGAAGAGGCCAAAACCATGATTTTGTACTCTTAAGATAAGAATCCATCCAGATACAAAATCAAAGGGCAATCATCAAATGATAAAATGATATATAGCACAGCCTGCCTAGCCATGAACAAAAACATGGAAGCAGAAAATTGCATTATATAAGGCTCACTTCCATGAAGTATTCCTGATCCCGAAAAGAAAAATAAAGAAAAGAAAAGAAACAACCTTCCACGAAGAAAAGATCTACTCCACATCTTAGCCTCCATATATTTTTTGGTTAGAAGGCCTAGCTGCAACACCAATTCTCTAACTGATAATTTCCTCCAAAGAACATTTTACTAATTTGATACATTGGAATTCAGTAAGACTTCCCGCAATGTATCAAGCTTCCAGCTCCCAGGAAAAGACCAAAAATGGCTGCACTGCCTAGTGTGGTTTGGCCAATATACCTAATCTTCAAAAGCCCTGGGACCTGCATCATTCCAATAATAAACTTGAGATTGACAGTTAGATGTTGGAGTACACTACAATTTTTCAGTTAAACGAAACCCAAATTTGGGAAATGACTTTGCTTGTTGGATACATATAGATAAGTGTATTGTTGCATCGTTCATCAAAAAAAAAGTGTAGTGTTGCACGCAGTAAGGCCCTTTAGGTGACCAATGGAAATATCCAGGGAAAATAACTCAAGGAAACAAGTATTAGCACTTGTAGGTGAATTACTGTTTTTTTTTCTTTTGACAAATGATTGCTATTACTATTATTACCTTTTTCTCCCTCTTTTTATCCATAAGGCAGGGAACAGCAGGGGTGGGGTTTTGTACAGCTAAATCAGCTTTATGATCAGCACAATAGGTTTCAGATTTTCAGTCAGAAACATTCAATCTTGTGTATACAGTACAAGAAAACCTGCCTTTAAGGTGCAAGAAGATCCCAACATTTCAGGGAAAAAATGTAACCACTCCCAATTACCCATGTATTATGACCCCAGCATTAGGAGATTGCCAAGGAAAATGGAAATGATTGGATTATTTTCAACCATTTAATCTTGTAGAATCTGCAGCTCCAATATAACCAACTAGAGACTTTACCAGCTTGCTAGCTGACACCTTCTGTCTAAATCCTTTTCTGCAAAAACTTTATGATTTTTGTTTGAATCCTGCAATGTGATTCATGAATCTTACAATTTATATGATTCAAATCAATTTCATTAAAAATTAGTTCTCTACTTTGTAATTTCTTTGTTTCTATTTAGTTTTGTCAAGGAAGACTTGTTTATATATTCAATTTATGATTACAATTTTGAGAATGAATATTGACAAGGAAAGGCAAAGAACATCCACAGCTAAACTAAGAAATATTGAGTTAGATCACATCAATTGCAATGTGTATTAGGAACATAGGATCAGAATGTCAGAATCCCTACTCCAGATGCTTAAAATCTAAGATGGACCCTTGAAAAATTGACAACTGAAGGTTCTTGTTTCTTTTAGGGGGAACATACGAGTGACAGCTTACAGGATGGATGAATGCCATTCTCCATTGGTGATATGAAACAGAATCATTATTGTGATTTCTTTCTAGGGAAAACTACAAACCTTCATATACTTTGTCCATGCTTGTAGATATTTTCCGGTCTCTAAATTACTAAACCATTACCATACCTCCTAAGTATTTTGCAACATTATATTTGAAAATCCCTGGTTATACAGCAACTCTACTTAGCTTGCCTTCTGTGTTACATGGACACGGACACAGGAGTAGGAATCCAGCACATGTCAAAGAGTCTTACTTAGCATGATGAGAAAGAAAACATGGGCTTACAGAAACATCTACAAAAAAATTTGTACCATGAACCTAAAAGAAATGTTTACAATGTTGTCTGTGTTACTAAGTAACATTATATGGGAAAAATGGCATTCATCTTGGTGGTGTTTGGGATCGATGCTGTTTCCTGAGAGGCATTTTCTCAGAAAACAGTGCTGCATTAAGCATGCTGCTTTCTCAGGTTTTCTATTTGGCACCATTGCTGGAGCTGCCACATAGGTGTTTTTCAATGCCACATCAGCACACTATTGCTAGCAAAAGTAGAAAAACGGGAAAACACCAAAAAGGACGTTTTCTCAGACAATACCTTTCCCGATTTCCAAGGTGTGGTCTGACAAAACGTTTTCTGGAAAAAACGGCTAACCAAACAGCAAGCATTATCTCAGAAAATGGATTTCTTATGTGGCACCATTTTCTGAGGAAACAGCACTGATCCCAACACCAACCTTGTATTATTAACTGTTTATTTATGTCAAATAAACTAGGAGAGAAAGGAAATGTTAAATAAAAGCTTCCTTCAGGAATTCTTAGAGTGTCGGAATCCGACATGTGTCTGGCCTGGACACTTCATCAATGTGGGAATCCATGAAGAATTCAGATTCAGGCCTCACAGCTTTTCCCAGCCTTGCATTGGGAACATCTTTGTATTTGTATATTTTTATTCATGGAGACATTCCCAATGTACAGCTGCAAGGGCTGTGAAAACGGTGTGAGGACGGTTTTGTGAGGAATGAATCCAGTCTCATCCAGGAAACACTGCATGTCTTACACTGATGGTTCTAAGCCCAGATAAAAGGACTGTGTCAGGTTGACAACCAGCATAAAAAGGTTGTGTTGTTCCAATTGTTTTAAAGGAGGACAAGATTCAGGTAACTAACTCCAAATAGTTGGGATTAAGGCTAAATAAAGCTGAGTTATGCTTGAATTGATAGTGTCCTCAACCACCGGGGAACCTGGTTTTGCCTGACATCTATTTCTTGTGTCCGGTTCTGTGCATTATATATGCAGCAGAAGTAACACGGTGAAGTATTATCACAAAAAATAAAATAAAAGCTAAAAGCAAAAGCATTGTAGCAGACAAATATGGAGATGACACAAATAGAACCACAAATTTTGACTAATCTGATGCAGAAGAATAAGGATTCAAAGAGTTTACCTTGTATCGAATTGCTTCATAAGTCCCATAAACAGCACCTACACAGAAGCCCATAAAAAATATCCTTAAATACATACAATTCAAATAGAATTGCAACTGTCAGTCGAAGCTCTCGTGAGGCAAAACAACACCCAGAACTCTCAGAAGAAATCAATATGGAGGATTCTTAGTTCGAAATATTTGACAGAGCTATATTATCGTTAAAAAATAGATTTTTAATGGTCGGATAGGTTTACAAATTCGAGCTTTGAACTGATCAGGAAAACAAATCAAATAACAGACTCAACCAAAAACAGATCAGGAAAGCAGAAGTGTGAATCTGAGAATTAGAGTTTTAGGGTTTATGGAGGGAGGAGGGAAAGATAATTACCGACAGCGCCACCAACAGCACCGCCGACGACAACGCCCGTGGTGACCCGACGAAGGCAGCTATCGCTCGCCATACCTCCTGGTGCCGCTGCTGCTTTGTTTTCTTTCCTCTGCCTTGGTCCAACCCCAACCCAACCCTTCAAAGTGAAGACAAAACGGAGTAGTGAGTAGGACTGTAGGAGTTCAATTGCTTCTCTGAATCTCTGTTTGTTCTGTTTCAGTGGATTTTGTAGGCCGTTGAATTAGAATCCAATTATCCAACGGAGAATGAACCATGAACCAATAGAGCTAACTACATGCAAAGTTACCTGTATCTGAGTTGGCGGTAAGCCGGTAAATCTGAGCTCTAATTCTTTTTAGAAAAAAAAATACAACTCTTACTCTCTTAGCACAAATGAGTAAATTTGCTTTTCTGCTTTTCCAGAACCCTAAAATCTAAATGCAGTGAATAATCACTCCGACTCTCTTCGTTCTGAGTTTGCTTCTATTGTGAAAAATGCGCACAGATAATACAGCACCCCCAGATGGGCCTGCGGCCCAATGCTTGCCACATGCCCTAACGTTTAAAGAATAGGATCCCACCATTGAATGGGTCTCACCTCCCAACTAAAAGCATGGATTAACCATTTGATTTGGGTAGATTAATGAATTTTCAGTAAATGTTTGTCCTTGATTTGTTTATAAAATCAAGAAAAGTAATAATGAATATGTTTATTGACACTTAAGTGTCACTGGGTGCCATGGATTCTGATTTTATTTGAACCATTTGATTTGGGTAGATTAATAAATTTTCACTGAACGTTTGTACTTGATTTGTTTATAAAATCGAGAAAAGCAATAATGAATCTGTTTATTAACACTTAGGCGTCACTAGTGCCATTAGGCACCACATCAGTAAAACATTGAATAAACACCTATCCGTTGGGGGAAGCACTAAAATGAAGCTTCCCCAAACAATGGGCGTGCATATAAATCAATGCTTGCTTTTGTAAGTCTCTTTGTACATATTCATATATTGAGGGAAATATTGAAATGATACCTTTGTAGCAGCGTTTACTCAATAAACGCCCACGGCTTAACACCACCATGTCCCAAGCAATGCATATGGATGGATACTTAGAGAGAAAGTTTGGGCTTTTCTTTCCTTTTTTGGGTTGAGCATTCTTTGAGTATTTTAGTGTTGAATAATGATTTGCCCTGGGGACATAACTTGCCACGTGTCCTGTGTTCAAAGAATTAGATCCCAGTATTGAATGGGTTCCAACTAAAAGCAATGGTCATCACCAAAGATCTGTTTAGTGGGATGATTTCTTACGCATTTGGGCATCATTTCTAACTTGCTTTGGAGTTTTGATTTAGACTGACCCAACTCCCAAGCAACGCAATAGGTACTCGGAGAGGAGACCGGATCTGTTCCTCACACCTTGTGCCTCACTGGCGCCTCACATGCATATCCTATCATGCATTGGGAACATCTCCCATACTTATTAGTGAATATTCACAGAAAATGTTCCCATGGTGGATGTGCCTATGAGGCGCCCATTTGTGAGGAGCAGATCCCGTCACCTTGGAGAGGAAGTTGAGCTTTCTCTTAATAATATAGGCTCTACTGAACTTTGCACTAATGCATATGTATGGGAGTGCAAATGGGTTTGGTGAAAATTCGTGTTTATTTTTGTTTAAAGTGCTAATTGATTTTAATTGCCTTTTCCTTTTTGTATCTGAAAAAGATGGATTAACGGATTAGATGTTAGTAGGGAAACAAGGGTGGGGGATAGGGCAAGGTGCACATTAGGCCCACAATATCACAATGTGGTAAAAATTTTTGCATCAGTTTTCGGTATGCAAAATTTATCCCAACAATGAGTGCAAATGAAACAAGTGCAGATTTTTCATCAAAGTGAGGGTGCAAATTATTTATTGCAATCAAATGCATGAAAATCTGAACTAAAAGACAAATTTTACATCTGGTTTGGATTTACACAAACAAATAGAGCCACAAGTTTGCAAACTATTTGCATTTGAGCACTGAACAATGGGAGTATGGGATGGTGCAGTGCTTTGTTGGGTCTTGGGTGTGGTGGGCAGAGTCCAACATGTCTTGGAACTGCGTTGGACCTTTCTGTGGCTCCAAATCGACATGACTAAACCACTTCTACTGGTGATGTGTTCGAATCGTTTGTTTTGGTGTCTTAAAGAGGGTCTAACACAATTCTAGGAGATGATCTCAAAAGCTACTATTTTACTTGTCTTGTATTCGTTGGGTCATGTGCAGCCAAATGCAGTTAAATCAGTTAAGTTATTCCTTCTCAAATCTGTTCCCTTAAAGGTTATCTGGGTGCAGAGATGATGTTGCACACAATTACATCTTTTCTTTGATCTTCATCTTCTTCTTTACTTGGGGCTTTCCTTAGAAATTCTAAATCAAGATTTCCGCACTTGATAGATGTAGAGACTAGAGGGTGGAACTTGATGAAGAGATGGAGAGGAATATTAGAGAATCCACTGCTGAAGCTGTGGGAGCAAACTGAGGACCAAATCCATCATCATCTAAGCCTTGTTTCAACTCTATGGGGTCAGCTACATGAATACGCGAATCCTGTTTCACCATTTCGTTCTATTAAATGCTATATCCCTTGTTAAACTGAGAACCAACTGATTAGGTTACAATGGTGTCAGAAAACTACTAATTCTCCATTCCTTAATTTGTATTTGTCTGATCAGTTAGGTTTTGCTTCTAAGAAAGAGCATGACTAGAGATGACAAAGCAACTGCCTCAACTGACAAGATCATATGCGCCTTTCTCCAGATTTGGTCATGCCTTCAAAGTTAGCAGATAGCAGCAGACCCCATACCTTATGCACATTGAAAAGGAAAGAACTGGGGGAAGGTGCATTAAATAGTTTATCAATTTGGGTCAACTTCCAACCGGCCCTAATTTGCCAAATACTTTGGAAGGCTTAGATTGATGTCCTACTGTCCTACTGCTACAGGCTTCAATTAGGCAATTAGTCCAGAACTAAGAAAAACCTTCTTGCTTTTGAAGGATTATTTTTCAGTTGTTTGATTCTCTTTCTTTTATTATACCCTGATGCCTATACTCTACCATCACCATCTGCAACAATCATACACCTTATCACAGCTCATTGATTAAAAATACTGACTCAATGTTAATCCATACCTCTTTGACGATTTTAGTTGACAGAATCAGTTATAACATTCATTCACCAGAAAAAATCTGCTATAACTTTCTGTAGTATCTTGGTCTTTTTATAGTCCACTCCCCCTCAGAATTCATTTATTAATTTCCCAAATATATTTATTCCCACCCCACCCCCCTATATGAATTCTGAGGGGTACTGAACTCAAATTACCCCTGGTATCTTTGAGCAATTGAGAGAGAGAGAGAGACCAATTCCAGCTCAAGCCAATCAAAATCGAATCTCTAATCCACCTACCGAGAGTTTATTGTCAGTGAGACCCACCTAAAACCGAGTGTGGATCAAGCTAATCAAATGGTTGAGAACCTTGACTGTTTGGACTTTGGACAGAAGGAGCAATGTTGCTCTGCTCTTGTTTTCTTTCTTTCCCCTCTGATTTAAATGGATATGAAGGCACAAGATGCCCACCTAATAATTACTAGTTAACTGAAGAACATTTTAGTCATCGAATTCAAAACTGATGGTCGCCACTGCCACGGTAGGACCCACCTACCATGCAATAGGCAGATAGCATCCATGTAGCATGCATGCCACCATGGTGATACAAATTCCAGAGGATCTGGATACCAATTCCTCCATGAAATCATGCCAACGAGATTAATATTAGGCTTGGTCCATCTGAACCAACCCCCAAGACAACAATGAAAAGTAGCCAAGGCATGTTACCTCCCCTTACCTATAAATTGGGCCTGGTATCTTCTGATTAACACAAATCATACACTGATAATGGAACCAGCTACAAGGTTCCAAATCTCAGTCTGGGTATTGACTCAGTTTGTCAAATCTGAGCAAGCCCAAAGATGAGTTGCTTCCAACTCGGGTTTATGATGTTACACCTAAAAGCCATCAGGACGCTTGACACTAAGCATTTTACATGACCAAGAACATGATTTATGCCAACTCGCTCCATACCTAAAAATCAGACTTTAGAAGCAAATATTTAACAGGTTCTCTTAGATCCAGGAGAAATGCCAAAGATACAGAAGCATATTTAAAGGCCGGTACATCTGAACTGATGAGAAAATCTCAGGGAAGGTAAACTGGAAGAAGAGAGTGTCTATGACCACCCAAGAACATAGTCAAGAACATAAACAAGCACCAGGGAGAGTGGGTAGAGCAGATATGCCACTAAACATGTCCATAAAGGGAAGGTGGTGCGGAAGCTGGCAAACAGACCCATTATTGTGCAAATGATAAAAATAATAAATACTTCAGATGAGAAGTCCCACGTTAAATTCCTTATGTAAACAACTGCTAAGAATACTGCTAGAGAAAGGATGTTGCTCATGGTCACGGACCCATAAATCTGCAACAAATAACACACATATTAGTCTCACAGTACAAGCTCTTCCAGATTTGCAGTTCCATAACTATTGTTTCATATATAGTTTGGTTTCAGTAATGCCCTTAAAAGCTTTGATATTTTGTTCCAAATAGTTCCAATTTCACATAATCCTTTAACACTTCGATATGATTTGTTGAATCATTCTCCTTCCATAACAATCATTACTTATTCAAAAACTAAATCTCAAAATATCCCAACAGGCGCACTAGCTGATACATAATACACACTTATAAAAGAAAAGAATTACATAGAACCTGCATTGAATTTCCTTCTTATGATCAGATTCTAAAATAAACACCACCAATAGCCAGTTGACTTCCCTCTAGGCTTCTTGGCATGTATATGTCTGGTATATTCCCTAGCATTTCTTAATGTACAACCTATTTTACTGTTACTAAAACGTGAGAAAGATAGAGAGTGAATATAAAAGGGGAGAGAGATAAAGAAGAGAGGGGAGAATAGAAACCAGAGGAGTTTATAAGTTTGAGAGAAAAGAAGTTGGGTCAGTCAGCCCTATTGTTCTTGTTTATACTTCATGGGTATTAGTACAAAAATAAACCCAAGATGTAATATCTCAACACCAGTGCACTATGTATAAAAAGGTACACAAGATGTACCCCTACAAACTGACAAACTCCCAATCAAAACAAAAACAAGGATAAGACAACCATCCAAAAGCAAATCTGCACGTCTGCTTTGTACTATCTTCTTTATATAATTATATCAGTATTTGCGATATACAAGAAGTTTCACTTAGATATTTAATACAAATGCGTGGTTATTGATCAAAGAAATGTTTTGCTCCCCAAGAGCATCTAATGAACAAAGGAATATCCAAAATCCAGGCAGCACAGACCACTCAAAATACCAGCTAAAGGCCTAGCACCCACAACTTTGATGAACAGCTCCAACCGCCAGTCCTAAGACACTGAACAGCATTACAGCTGCCACTTCTTCCTCTCCCTCTCCTACGTAGATAACAATTTCCCTCCAGTCCTCCTACATCTCTGTTGGAGTGTTCAAACTATACCATGCATGAGGAAAGGGGGTATATTTTTGGGTAGAAAAGGTATAATCAGAGATCTTAATCAAGGTTCTAAGTATCGATATTCTCAATACCAAATTTTAGATCTTAATCAGAAACCTTAACATCGATACTCTTTTTTACTTTTTTGGTTTCATACTTTAATAGTGCCCTATCACATCATGTTTTAACATACAAAGCAATAAAAGTAAGTAACTAACTGATGGTGGCTCAGTTGGCAAGTTCTTTGGCTAGTTGTGGTGGACACTTGCGATCAAATCCCGTTGCCAACAGGGCTGGGGGAGTTTATAGGTATGGGGATGGGCTACCCTCCATTGTGTAGCTCCATGAAGCCAAAAAAACAACAAAAATAAGTAAACTCTCTATTAGTGCATTGGTGACCCAGAAAACCGATACCGTATGTTTTTTTATCAGCAGCAAATATATTTTTATTATATTAGATTTGATCAAAGAAGTGGTTATTACAACTCGGTGGCAGGAGTGTCATCCCCAACTTTCAAACCCAAGTTACATAGAAGCCCAAAACAGTTGCTGCCTCAGAACCCCTTGTTTGGCAAGGGAATCAGCTAACCCATTTGCACTCTTAACCCACTTAAATTCAGCCTCTATGTCCTTTGCAATCTTTTCCACTTCCTTCATCACATGTTTAAGAGTCCAAGGAGTACGTATGTTGCAATTTTCCCATGAAATAACTACTTTTGAATCTCCTTCCATCTCAACTAGTCTATATCCCAGCTGCTTTGCTAACTGGAGACCTTGCAGCAGAGCCAACAGTTCAGCTTTCAAAGAGTTTCCCATACCAATTGGCCCTGAAAAAAAAAAAAATCCAATATCCTCCTCCAATCAGAATTTATGATTGCCCATCCTATTCCTTCTGTACCTGGGTTCCCAGGGGAGCTCCCATCAAACTTGGCTTTGTTGCCTTCAATCGATACCATATGTTTCAATACCTTGACCCTGATCTTAATGTAATATTGGTCTCGTTAGGGTCTATTTCTTAATTTGGATATTTATAGTGTTAATATAATGCATCTCTCTCATTTGGAAGAGATAGATTTTCTGTGGTTAGTATCCCTAATTCTTGTTTCTCTTTTCTAATGTTCTCTTTCTTTCTTCTCTTTTCTCATACCATTCAAAAGATGATATCAAGCAAGTAGACTCTATGAGGAAGATGAAGATCACAATGATGATCCCAAGTGGAGAGAATGAGTTGTTCTTTTGGTTGTTTTAAGTGGTTGTTTGAAGGAGCATGCGTTTCCTTTGGGATGCCCTTTTTTTTTTTTTTTGAGGATTTTGGCTAAACCAAGAGGATAGAATTTTAGATTTGAAGGTTAATGGACAAGAGGAGTAATTTTTTGGTCATAAACAGTAAGTGCTTGTCCAATAATTGTTGATTTGGACGTGTATATGTTAGGTGTACAATGGATGTTTGAAGAAATACATATAAAATCGTCTAACCTTTCAAATCCTGTAGAACTTCTTTGTCACTATATTTTAGCAACCTATGTTGCAATGGAGGTATTTACTGAAATTCTCAAGTGCCTTCAATAGTAAAGTCCCTTGGACCATGTACATGTTCGGTGAAATGGCTAAACGGACTACAGATTTTGGTTTTCAAGTTATCTATATGCTGTTTTGGGGGTATTTGGATGTTAAATCTCTAATTGTGTAGTGCCCTCTTCCTTTAATAGTAGTGGTTGGGGTTTGAACTCTGTTATGTTGGTAGTGTACTATTATTTCTAGGGGATATGCCAAGAGAAGTTGATGGTTGGTCATGTCTTGGGAGAGTTGTGAACCACCATGAGTAACATGTTGGTCGTGTCTTGGTATAAGAGCCATGAGCCAACATGAATACCATCTAATTAGTTGAAAACTTGCCTTTCCATGGATGAAAGTTGTGTGTGCTGCCGTGGGTGTTTTCAAGTATTGGATCCTTATTGGCATGGTGTAAGAGATGGTTGTTGCCATACTTGGAGTCTTCAAGTTGCCTTGTTCGGGAGTTCATTTAGAAGACTAATTCATGTCGCTACCAAGGTAATGTTGTTTCACTCAAGCAAGCTAACTGGTGTTAATTTGAGAGAAAGTGTTGGCGTTCAAATTGTATCATGCATGAGGAAGGGGTATTTTTGGGTAGAAAGGTTATAATCAAGGATCATAATGTAAAATATGCCCCATTAATGTTTATTTTGTAATTTGGATATTTATAATGTTAGTATAAAGCATCTCTCTCATTTGAGAGAGAGAGAGAATTTTTTGTGGCTAGTACCTCTAATTCTTCTTGCTCTATTCTATCATTTTCCTTCTTTCTTCTCTTTTCCAATATCACTCATTACAGCAAACTCCACTTTTCTTTAGATATGTCATATAATCTCCCATGCTTTTCCAGTCAATAGAATTAAGGGAAACCTTGTTAACATAATCTTCCTTGTTAGCAACTGAACTGTCTGGCCATCTTCAATCTTTGCCTTGTCCCTTGCTTCCATCATAGAAAAGTAGTCATGCCTTGTTTTTTGTTTTTGTTTTGATGAGCAAATAACATAATTTCATTTCATTAGTATAAAGAGGTATATTTATCCACCTCCCCTAAATGCAAATATTACCATTGAGCCCAAGACAATTGTCCCTATTAACTCCTTGCTTAGATAATGAATCAACCAACCCATTTGCAGACCTAGGAACCCACTGACTTGCTATTGTCATTGCCTTTGTTAACCATCTAATCTTTTTAATATCACCTCTGTAAGTCCAAGTTGTCTTCTTTTCATCCTTTAACCAGCCAACCACCACTTGAGAGTCCCCTTCATGACTACCCCCTCCAGGTTCAACTCTTTTGCTTTTTAAACTCCATAAAGTACAGCAAGCAGTTCAGCTCTTGTAGAGTCCAAGTAGTCATGCCTTGTTCATCTCCTATAAAGAGAAATCAATCTTCTTAATGATTTCAACTGACTCCTCTACATCATTAGGTTCACTGACTTCTCTATCCTCACTCTATACAATGGGGTCAATTAATAAGAGTCTATCTTGGACTTGTTGGAGTCAGGTGCCTCTCCATTCAAACTATGCTCCTGCCCACCCTTCCTCATAACAAGCTACGCCATTTTTTCACCTCAATCATCTTCTTGCTTGGAGATCTCCTCTCTTGATTTAGAGAAAGACCCTTCACCGTAATAGAACCCCTTTAGATGTAAACAAAGTGGGAAAGTCTGACTCAACAATTGAATCAAGAATCTATGCAGTAAAATGTTCAAAGCTTTCTGGAAATTCATTGGACTCCAAACTAGGTTCAAACACTACTGTAAAATGTTCAGGAACAATGACAGCATGAAAGTATCTAAAATCACAAGACAAGACATTGACAGGGCTTATAATGCAAAAGGACAGGCTTATGTAGTTTTACATCTTGTACTTGTGTGATTTAAGGGCTTTCTAATGGACAGGGCATGTGACACTAGCATCTGCCAAGTTCAATATACTGGTGATAAAGTTTTAATAGTTATCCATTACAAGGGAGAAAATTAATGTGTAGGTAGACAACTTGATGCATTGAACTTACCAGAGAAAAGGTTGTTCCTCAATATATGAACATATTAAAATCAAAAGCCTGTATAATAGCATATGCACATTAATGCCTAAGTGATCACAGAGAAAGCACAAACCATTGGAAACAATACCACAGGTACTAATCAGATACCCAATATCCACAATATTATATTTATTGAGTGCAATTAGAGTGGAAGAAACAAACCATTGAAAATGTTAAAGAAGCAGTTTTTTGTTTCTTCCGGCTGGCAAAAATAAGTGCTGACACTGCCTCACTGGAAGTGGCCAAAGGAAGTACTATAAATGAGACAAAGAAGGCAGGAATGCTTGTAGCATTGGAGAAGTTGTCAACAGCATCTACAAGGGGATCTGCAAATGCAGCTGCTATACCAGTTCCCAGCAACAACATTAAGACTGCTTTAACAGAATCCCATTTAGGATTTTTAACACCCTCTGTGGTCTCATCACTACATCCCAGAAGATATTCTTCTTTCTTGGCTTTCTGCATGCATTTTTAAAATCCATAAAACTGTAATGATAGTCATGATAAGAAAGGACTATTATACATATTTGTGTAGAGAAAAAAAAACTTACATTACGTAACTCATTTATAAATCTTACTGAATCAGAAGTTGAATTATGATGTGAAGCTACAGAATGTTTAGCTACATTAAGCCATTTTGATATTCCTTCAATAAACTCACTCTCTTCAATATATGAATCATGAGATGTATCAAAATCTTTCAACATTTCTTCAACAAAACCATCCTGGTCCAAATCTACTTCATCAAATTGGATTCCCATGATCAGTGCTTTTAACTCAGGAACCGATAGACGATTATCTAAATTCTCATCAAGTTGCCTAAATACCCTGTCATTACATTCAGATAGTAACAATAAAACAAAAGAGTAGTAAAAACAAAGGTAAAAAAATCTGCAGGATGTATAGCAGAAACTAACTTGCGTATAACATCTATATCAGGCTGACCATCATCCTTTAGGAGCCTTCCTAGTGCTCGCATTTTTAGATTTCCTAAAATTCCTGATACTACACGCTTATGCTTTGCATAAGCAAGCCTTCTTCTCTGAATCCAAGGCTGAAAGACCTGCACAAATTATATGAAAAGAAGTTTAATTATAGCACCAAAAAGAGTTGGAATAGCCCAAAATACAATTAATGAAAGGTTGGGTGCTTTATTTGATGTAGGGTCTTTCAAGATATTCCCACTTCAAATGAAGAATAAAGCTTCAGATGACAACTTAAACTCATGTTATATGGATTGTATAGATTGGCAATTCACCTATCTGGGTCAACAAGTTGATGATTTTAAAGTGTATACATTAAAGATTTTGTTACTTAAAAGAACACATCAAGTATACAAGACGATAACAGAAAAATAAAACACAAAGTTCAAGAACAAGTAGTAACAGTAATAATAGATCTAGAAAAAAGAAAGAGAAAGAAAACTAAGTAGAAGGGTGAAGAATATACCTATTAGAGTTAGCCAAAACACACAATATTAGAGATCAAAGTATCTCCAGAAGAACATAATAAATTTTATTCAGAAAACAGTATCCATGTCATTATTTGTGTGCCACATAATTATCACATCCACTAAAATCCAGTACAACTCAAAAGAACAGATCTATAACTTCTGTTGCACCATCAAACAACTAAAGACTTAGTGTGTACTCACTGTTCAAATTCCAAAAGGAACCCCAAAAATATGTATTTCATAAATTTCCTAAGTTAGCCTAACTTCAAGAGAGAAACCTTGTAGACACAAAACCTAGGTCCAAGCTCAGAATTTCTGGGCTGGGCCAGGATGAGCAATAAATGAGCACCCCTACAGGCCACTCCATGGTTGGATGATGAGATACAAGCTCCAGAATATACACCAAATATAAAACTAGTTATGACTTAGAAAACAGTTAAATTACCACATTCTTCTTTTAATCAGGCTTTGACCCCCCCCCCCCAAGAAAAAAAAAAAGAAAGAAAAAAAGAATCAAAAGCAAAATGGAAAAGAAAATGCCAGACCAACTCCATTAACAAAAGAAAGTATATCCCAACCTCCTGGTAATAAAAAATAACCCACCTAAAGAACCTTTTAGTAACAAAACAATTAAAAGAGATCAAAACTCAAGTAATGGCACTCCCTCTTCTAACCTTACCTGTATCTAGCTTTCCTACTTTACCTCTATATCCCCTCCACTTGAGGCTACACAATTGATCTTGCACAATAGTCCCACCCACCTCAACACCCCCCCCCCCCAATTTCTTTTTCACGATGGAAGCATATCACTGTTAAGACTTCTTATGTAGTCATTTTTTAATACTATAGATAAATTTTAGGGAAATTTCCCAATTAGTACCCTGTACTTTGGGCCTAGTGCCACTTTGGTCACCGAACTTTAAAATGTGACAATTCAGTACCCAAACTTTTAAAACGTGCCAATCCAGTACCTGTTGTTAACCAACCCATTAACCAACCATTAAGTGACATTTGAAAAGACACAAATGCCCTTCGAGTGTCATCTAATTTTCTTTATCAACCATCCAAATGTTGATAAAAAATGAAGTCCCAAATCCTTGCCTCTTCTATTCAAGAAAGTTGGGGTTACATCTCAGTGGGCATTCTGGTGACCCCAACTTTCTTGAATAGAAGAGGCAAGGATTTGGGACAGCTCATTTTTTGTCAACGTTTGGATGGTTAATAAAGAGAATTAGATGACACTCGAAGGGCATTTGTGTGTCTTTTCAAATGTCACTTAATGGCTGGTTAACGGCAGTTACTGAATTGGCATAAAAGTTCGGGTACTGAATTGTCGTGTTTTAAAGTTCGAGGACCAAAATGGCATTAGGCCCAAAGTACAGGGTACTAATCGGGAATTTTCCCTAAATTTTAAAAGGTATATGAGAGGTATATGGGCTTTGTGCAAAGGAAAAAATGCTCAATAGGCAGAAAAAAAGGAGAAAAGGTATACCTTGCCACAAAGAAGCTCCCACCCATCCACAATGTTGACAGTATAATTACTGGGCCGTGAGCTTTATGGGCCTCAGTTTGTGTTCCTTTTATTAGTTGTGTTCTTTATTTCATTAGTTGTTGGGCCTTAGCCCACAGTTTATTTCCTTTAGTTGTGGCTGCCCTATTAAGGGCTTTGTAGTCCATGTACACATTATGATAAAGTATATAAATAATAAGAGAGGAGGTGGCTGGAGAACGTTTTGCCTCTCTCATTGTTTTACTTTTCTCTCTTTCTCCGTTCTTCTTCCTCTTCACAAGGACACTTTTTCTTTTTTTATCAGCAAAAGAATTTCATTAAAAATTAATTCAGAAACTTAGTACAACTATTATAGCAATCCACCCAGCCCATATTACATCATATTATAACTTTTTCCAAAAGAAAAGAGGCCTATACTCGTTGTTCTGCTAACACATCTGCTATCTCATTAGCAATCTTTATCCAGCTTAAACTAGAATTAAACCTCTTTGCTGGAAGATTAATTTCCCTCGCTTTTTCTTTTAGTTTTTCAGCAGTTTTCTTTGGATCTTGAATTTCTACTCACAAGTAGCCCAAAATAAAGAATAAAAATAAAATCAAAATAATCCAATCCTAACGACCTACTTAGGACCATACCACCAAGGAACCTGCCAAAGAACCTACTTCTTGCTCCTACTGCCTCTTCCTCTTTCTTGGAAACTATTCATCTCATCTCTCTGTAACTTTCTTTGATCCCCCACCTCTAAAGGACCCTGGCTTTGCCATGCTTGACCTTAAATGATCATAGAGACGTTGACATCCTTGGGGAAGCAAGAATACACAAATTTTCTGGAGCTGTATACAGTTCAAAATTTGATGAGGTTAAATAAGAGGATTTTTGAAGGGAAAAAGAAAAGATAACAAGATAAATTGCTGATATTGGACCTTTCATCATAGGCCGGTTGCTAGTTCACCCAAAATTTGGAGACATTTTTCATTCTTTTAGTGCAGACTTATGGTCTATGTTGGATGTAGCCATAAATCTCAATGTTTAATCTTGACTAATAGGCTATCTGGTCATGTTTTGTGACGCTGGGTTGATTGCTCAGTCAGTCCACAACTTGTGTTACTCTTCTGTCTTTTTGTTTTGACATAATTCCTTGTTTTACTATAAAAAAAACAGCCATCCATCTAGAAAAGGGCATTACCCAGTGGTGGTCTCAGCTATCTTGGAAGTGGTAGGCTGTGTACGGGCCTATGGCCCTAACCTCTTTTTCCTAGGATTTCCCAGGAAAGAAGCTCCTTATGATTTTCAATCCCCTTTGATGTTACATCTCTCTCCTAGCATCCGTTTCCTCTAGTCCTTCACAATTATTCTTTGAAATCCTAGTTCCTTTCAATCTGCTATCTGTTTTTTACATCTTCCCCTCATGTTTGAGGTGCAATTCAATATAATTAGTTTATTCATTAGTGTTACATCACACATTTTACATTACAAGTTCAACACTTGTTTAACAAACACAAAATGTAGAGAATAAAAGGATACATATTATGACTCAGTTATGGCTCTTCTTCTGATTGTTGTTAGTCATCCCCTGGAAACAACATTGTGTGCATCACCTGCCTAAGTATGACCTTGATTTGACTGGTGATATGTCTTCAATATACTTGAAAAATAAAAATAAAAATTAATTGGCCTTGATCAAACACCACATAAGGAATTAATACCTGATAAAGGCAGTAGCTGATCAGTAATGCAATGGAAGAAATGAGTGCAATCAGGATTGCCAAGTGACTTCCAGAAGATGATTGTAGAAACTGTGGTAGTTGAACAATGATAAATGGGATAACTGATACACACATGATCCTTGCAGCATAGCTGGTCCAGATATCAGTGCTAACACCAGAGCCTGCAAAGATGGAGAAATTGTAGGTTATGCTGCTTCTTTCTCAGGATAACACATTGCAAAGTTGTCCATGCCATAGTTTTCAAAGGAACGCCTAGGCAACAAGACACCAATTGAAGGTCACCTTTCTTAAGTGCCTAGCTATTTTGTACATGGCACTATGAAATAATTTTATATTCTTCATTTTTCTGATTATAATAATAAAATAGACTTTTTAAACTAAATTATTCATTTTGTGGGTTATATACTAGTTTCTTTTTATTATCTTCCTATATGTTAGGGTGTAATAAATACACATGTTGGTTTATGCTATCTTGAAACCTCAAATACTTCAAAAACTGAACCAATAAGCAAGGAAGAACTTACAATTTTGTCCAATCGACACGTTTGACCCTTTATTTTCTTCTTTTCCTAGTCCTAGAAGGCTAGGATAAAAACAGGGGCTTAGCCCCTATTTTTTCTGAATTCACTTTTCTTTCTTATTTTTCTTCTCATGAACATGTTGATTTTCTATGTTTCAATATGAAGTTTTTACTTTATTTACATTGATTGTAGATAACTACTAGTAAAAGATTATTTCTGGTTGCTATGGAACCTAGGGAATTACCCTAGGATTCATGGTTTGTATTTGAAAAATCCATTGCACATTTAAGATTCAAAAAAACATATCAAAGAACTATATAAATCAAATAAGAGAAGATTAAGAAACTTAGGTATCTTTCTCTCCATCTCCCTTTAGTATTTTAGTCATCTTTCTTCATTACATATGTCATTTACTTGCCATTTTGACATTTAAATTAATTCTTACTATACATTTTGATTAGATCACACCTTGTTACTTAAAGGATTCTCAATCCACCAGTGTAGCTTGTCTTACACTATCAGGCCCAAGTGTCTGAGATAAAGGACAGTTGTGTAAAGTTGGTAGTTGACATTAAGACTTTTGCCAAACTCTTATGGTCATGGATCCTAAATTGTCTTTTCTTGCTTATGCTAGGGCGTTCTCCGGAAGTGACATGCTACACCTTAACCTGAGTATGCTGACAAATGGGCATGGCCACAAGGGTATGTTAGGGTGTTCTGGATATAGCACTAAACAAACAGAATAGTGAAATAGGATTCATGATGATGATGACATTTTGATTGGATTGAGAATCCTCTTGTATAGTTGTTTGCCTTTTCTTATTTTTCTTTTGAATTTTAAGGAAAAAGATTTTAAAAAAATGATGATTTAATGAAGTATCAGAAATATTTAATAATATTCTAAGATTTTAAACATTAATTTTATAGTCAAACAATAAAATCTGAAATGTTGCTAACAAATCAGAAAAATATTGGAGATATTAGGAAAAAGAGATTCTTGGAGCCACCTAGAAAAATGGGGAGATTTCAGGGAAATTTCACCAAATCTCAGTAATACTGTGAACCATGCTTAAGATAAATACCAAGTAATATAACATTAAGAACACTCTATGTAGAGGCAATAATTAATTCAAAACCATTCTCAAAACATAGAACTTCCTCAAAAATGGATAGTTTTGTGGGTAATGAGTGTCAAGGAAAAATATACGAAAAGGTACATGAAACCACAAAAATGGGGAAAGACCCAAAAATAAAGCATCCAGATAGAAAATAAAAAGATATCAAAACCTGAAACCCCAACACAAACCACTGTCAGATACAATCCACTAAATGAAGCAGAAGAATATACCAGTTAAGGCAGCTATGGTTAATCCTTCTGTATCTTGTAAATCTACTGCAGTTGAACCATCAAGGTCACATTTTCCAACAACAACACAAGATCCCCATAGTAATGTTAGAAGCAAGACCGTTGACCCAGAGAGTAATCCCATTCCCACCAGAATCTGACTTTGAGCAGTTTGGCTACTTCCTGAGAGTCCAGAAACTGTGGAAACAGAACAAAAAATTATGGAAATTATAAATAAAGATAAGGTACATGATTAAGAATTAAATGTACAACAACCCTACTACATTTACTTAAATAGAACAGAAGACAGGAGAAACAAGAATCAGTTCCTACAAATATTAGTCTCTTCAATGACTTTTGAGAACATAATCAAACATTCAGAGTTGTCAGAAGATTCTTTAATGTTCAAATGCATCCAAGGGTACAAGCTGGCCAAAAGGAACATGGATTATTGAAAATTTTGAGTAAAAGATGATAATCTGAAATTTAAATGAACAGTGAAAAGAAGAGGAAAAGTAAGAGAAGAAAGAGAGGAAGGATAAGACAAATGGAAAGAATGAATAGAGAAATGAACTCAACAGAGCAGTTCCCATGTTCTATGAGGACAGAAAAATGAAAATATCAGCTATTTATCCTTCTAAATTAAGGAAACAAAATTCTCTAGCAGTAACTTTTTGCCTAACAAGTTATCCACCATTTTTTTATTGGTATCAGTTAACTTTATTAGTTTTGAATAAAATAATTCTGTATATGCATCAAATAATTTAGCAACCTTTAGCTTGGCCAAACACTGCCACCCAATACCTTCATTCACGATTATTTCTTCACTTTGATCTTATAAGTCTCCCCATTGGTAGGTTACTCCAATACAATCGGTTCCTTGCTACACCTTGGATTACTAGTGAATCAACAAAGCTGTTGGCTGAACATGGGGTCCATCTATATGTCACTCCCAATACTCTTGTAATTCTTTAACGTCCCTTAAGTCATGCTTGTAGTGCCAAGACCCCGCCTCATCATTTAGCAGCCACATCACCACCACATGTGAGTCACCTTCCACCATTAGGTTCCTATAATTCAGTCTTTCTTCCAACCTTAAACCTTGTTAATAGACTTCAGCTCTGCCCCAATAGAATCTCCATACCCCGTAGGGCCAGAAAAGAGAGCCAAAAAGTGACCCTCATTATCTCTGAAAACACCCGAACTCCAAAGTCACCTGGATTACTTAGGTTTTATTGGTACCTTTGCTGCTTCTACCTGAAACATTTTGGGTTGATCAATACAAATTTGCATACAACTATTATTTGAGGTTCTTATAGTTAAAACAGGCATACCTTAAAAATGCATGTGCGAGAGGCTGTTTGTAGAAATGTCAAATTGATGTTTCATAAATCTTATGATTTATGAAAATCTTACCCTTTAAATATTATATCTGAATCCTTTTCTACAAAAATCTAATGATTTTTTGTTTGAATCCTATGATTCGATTCATAAATCTTATGATTTATACGATTCCTGCGATTCAAATCAATTGAATTAAGAATTTTTGTTTTATTTATATTTAGTTTTGTCAAGGGAAACTTTTTTAAAGATATAATTAGAAATTAATTTATTATGTTAGTTAAGATCATATATTGAGATTATTTTCCATCATATATAGCCATTGTAGGTGGATTGTTTCACTTTCAAGTCAAACTTGATTATACCATCTTAGACATATTGTAAAAGTGGTAAGTTCTATTACTTTAGGTACATATATGGTAGATATGGATTAAAAATAAGGTAGAATTAATTTTCCATATATTTAACCTCTTAGCATATCTATATTTAATTTTTTGACAAGTTTGAAAAAAAATAGAAATAATCTTACGATTTACAATATGATTCATAATTTGATTCGATTCAACTTTCTCTATGATTTACGATACGAATACGATTTTCAGAACATTGGCAATGGTACTAATCGTTCTAATTGAATTGACTCTGATATGTGATGTGACAACACAAATCTCTCGCCAATTTGTATTGATCAACCCAAAACTTTTCAGGTAGAAACAGCAATAGTACCAAATGCAGCCTAAGACTGCAACCACCAAAGTTTAGTTTAATCCTACCCTGATCAGGTGGCACCCATTTAGCAATCAAGGTCCTTCTAGTTAATGAGGATTTGGCAATGGCTTTCCAATTCCTGACAATAGAGTCATGTAATCAGCAAAAGCATCGAATGTCTTCATCCAGTGAACCACCTTGTTAAAGCTTTCATAGCTAGCTTCTTCTCTTTAAAAGTCTAGTACTTCATTCCTCCCAAATGCTCCATAGCATGGCTGCTCTCACACATCTCCACAATACCTTAGCTCCCCTTGGTGGTGAGAAGAGCTGCTGAACAGACTTAGAATGTCAATAGGAGCTTCACATCTGCAACCAAAAGTGGAAAAGAAATACTCTTATATGCCAGATGCATAAGGAAAGAAGATTAGTAGGTGATGTGTAGTTTCATAACTTGCCCAACAAAGAAAGCATATACTAAGTGAAGCACAAGAAAATGCCTTTCTTTTGAAGAGTCTCACAAGTATTAATCTTCACAAGGCTAGCTTCCCAACAAAAGGCCCTTATTTTAGGTGGCACCAGTCCGCTGCAAACTAATGACTTGGAAAAGGACGCCTAAATAAAAACTCCAGACGAAGTGGTGGTCCAAGTTCTACTGTCCAAAAGTGAACTATCATAACAAACTCCAATGGCATCCTTGAAAACCATCACTAGCTCCTTTCACCATCAGAAAAACCTGTCTCTTGTTTTCAGATATTTAAACATAAAAATGCAAACTTGTTCCCCCAATCACCAGAAGAAGAAAGAAGATCTTAAGCCACTTTGTGCATTAACTGAAACTTCAAAGTGAGGATAGTTTTGACACCTAAGGCATGAACCATTCAAGAAGTAACGTCTTGGTTACAGCGTACATTGCAGTAGCTATTGCACCAACTGTTGTAAGTAAATGGTTTGTAACTGTTTTTAAATTATTGTTTTGTAAAAGTTTTAAGATCTTTTCCATTGGTTATAACTGTGAAGTTTTATTTTTATTCAATTACAAGGATAAATTGGCATTGTCCACCTTATGCTCTGGAGTCAAACATTTAAAAGAGATAAATCTCTTAGACATATAATATACAAGTAAGTCTTGAAATATGGATTTGAGAGTCCCATATGTATAGAATGATTCAACATCAGTTTAAGCTATTATGTCAGTGAGATTAACTCATAGTATGGACGACATTGTGCATACCTCTGAATTTAGAGAAGTCTAATTAATAATTGTAGTCTAATACATTTTCCAAACACTAAAATCCCTATATGTCTCCCTACTGCCCAGAAAGATCTCTCTGCCCCAACTATCATGTGTGTTGAACTTCATGTGCCCCACACTACAAAAAGAAGTAAAATAAACAACTAATATCAGGTCCTACTTACTCAATAGAAACCTGAACTTGCTCATGGACAAGAAGAAAAATCAAAAGTTTTAAGTTCTGAAAACTGATGAAAAAGCTAATCCTCTTCTGGGAAAAATAATTCATTTAGGGGGTGTTCTTTTTTTGGATTTTGAGAGGGGTGAAAGTTGGTCAATGGGATTTTGATTCCCATTGACTAAGAAACCCATGTTCTTTTTTCAGATTTATGTGGGAACTCGGGAAAGTTTATTTTCCTGGGTATCACTTACCTGGGTATGTGATACCCATCTCCTAGGTGGATAAATAACTTTCCCACTTGTGGGGAAAGTTACCAACACTTGAGTGGGACAAAAATGCCCCTTTTAATAACGGATTTTTATGGCTAAAATGGTCATTTCCTTATTTACATGGGAAATAAAAGAACATGGGTAAATGCACTTACCCAGATAAGTCTTTCCTGGGAAACACTTAACCAGGTAAGTGCATTTACCTGGGTAAATAACTTACCGAAAAGCGAAAGGGGCCTTAAAAAGGAAAGACGAAAGGAAAATATATCAAAACAGTTAGATTGAAATCAAGATACTTACCAAGGATGAGCATTGCATCTGGAAAAGAGCCAAGGATAGGAAGGAAAAGGCCCCCAATGATACCGGGGCCAAGGATCTCAAGCAGAAGTTCACTTCCGTTGGAAAGGTTCGTCGCGGCTAGGAACATCAAGTACCCATATGCAATGATGAGGAAGATGTTTCCAACAACAGTAGTGGTGCATGGCAAGAATCCATATGTCTGTTCACATGTTCCAGATGCAACTTGTCTCTTAAGAAGGATGAGTGGAGACTCTGTTTGCACATTGTGGATCCCATCAGAAACTGTATTAGACGTCAATTTCTCTGTAATGAATGGATTTCGGCCACCATTGGCGATTGCAAGAATGGCAAAGAGGATTAATAAAATGCACATAAAACTTCTCTCCATGATAGAATTTCTGTTCTCCTTGTTGTCTGCTCACCCTTTACCTATGTATTAATTGACCTCCACTCTTAACAGTTGATAATCTGATTAATGGCTTGGATGCAGCCTTGAAGAGACTGAAAAAGATAAATGTAGGTTAAATCCCTGGCAGTACCCCGGTATTTTGAAAAGCTCAAAAAACACCCATGCAACAAAGAGGAGCTAAGAGAAAAAGTGGCTTAAATTGATAAATAAGATGAATAAGATATGTAGAAAAGATCTGAAAATGAAAAAATAGGAACAACTAGAAAGTCCATTGGTTCAACTTAATAACCTGCATTTTTCCCTAGATGAGTAACAAAAGATTTCAATATGAAAGTAGTTCCACAAAAAAAAAGAAATAAAGATATACAAGGATTTATACCACCAGTGTATAACAGTGCAGTTTGTCTAATTCAGTTATTAATCCGCATTCCTCCTATGCATGCCCAGAGTAGTTGCAAAAAGCATGACTAAATTTCTTCTTCGAACTAGAGATTTTAATTTTGACTAGATGCACACTGAACCCAAAAAAAGCTAATCCCAATGAAGAAATGCATAAGTACCAAAAAGAAAAGTGGAGAAAACTAAAACATGTATATCTATACTATATATAAAAGTGTGAATGCAACATGAGACTTTTTTTGGACTAAAATTACCCTCTACTTCTTTGTTTGAGAAAGGGTATAAAAGGCATTTTATTACAGCTTTAATGTCAGCTTTAATGGCTACTAAAATGCTCATAATTGTGTATTTAGTCCATCTCTAATAGTAAGGTTGAAAATGTAACTTCAATTATTACTTCCCACCTCATTTAATCCCCTCTCATTAAGTCTTATATTTAAATTATTAACTTCCATTTTCTCTTGTTAAATTAGATTGGTATCAATATTTTTAACAATATAAACCCATAAATTTTAAAACTGACTCAAAAACAAAACCATTTTTAATCCAAGTGGTCGCTAAGCAATTCAACCATCCAAATCAAATTGCTCAACCTATGAAGCCATAGTTAGGCAATAAAATTTTTAAAATAGAAAGAAATATAGAAACTTACAAAAAATGTATAAAAAATTAGACAAATTTATGATATTTTTATTAATCAAATTAAAAAAAAAAATAAGTCTAATAAACAAGAATTGTTTTTATTGGTAATGAAAATGAAATACATAATTTAGAACTCACCAAAAATGAAATTATTTTATTGTTTGGCAAAGATCAATAGTTCAAATTTTGGGTCAAACATGTTAATCTTTAATGCCATAAATAAATAATGAAAGTTAATAAAATATAAAATACAAAAAAAGAAAAAAAATACATAAGTTTTGCAAAAAAAACATTTAGGTACATGTATAATATCATATATTTATCATATTAAACAAAAAGTAAGTGTGACATATTAGAATTATTTTTACACACAAAAATACAAAAAAACTATAGAAAAATTGAACATATCTATAATTCTATATTTACACTACTATTCAAAATATGAATAAGATTGTGGAACTTACTTTTTGACTAAAATACTCATTTTTGAATTTAGTCCCTAATTAATTATGAGGTTTAAATTGTAAGTTGAAAAACTACTTTTCACCTCATTCAATTCCCTCTATTTAAATCATATATTTTTTTAATAAATGAACAAAAAAGATACACCAAAAAGATTAAATATTACAAAAAAGAAGAATCTAACCAAGCAAGTAGGCCTATCAATGATACTTGAAACTTCACAACTCGATCCAATTATCACATATTTGGATGAGGTGTTTATGTAATCGGATTTGGATTTGCAATCCACATCCGATTAATAATAAAGACAAAAAATAAAAAAAAAAATCATAAAATTTATAGAAAAATTTAGATACATTATTACTATCATTATCATCATCTAGAATTACCACGTGAAGATTGATACTTGAAACTATATATAGCTATATTGAGAAAAAATATGATATCAAACTATTCCAATAACAGACACTTCTAAATAAAAAAAAAAACAATCATAAACCCAAACCTGGACAAACCTAGAAGCAAAGATGAATAACAGCAAGTACATATGATATCAAACAAGTAAAAAAATTCAATAAAAGAAACTGAATCCTAGACTTACCCAGAAAAATAAATAAATAAATAATACCCATATGGGCAATATATCATGAACAATACTGCACAAAAAGAGAAGAATGAGGAGAGAAATACATGATTGCAAACTAAATTCATAAATTTTAGAAATGAAGATCACCAACCTCAGTCCGGAAAAGGGATGCTGAAGGATCATCAGAACCTCAGTGACACCATTTCCGGAGTAAGCAAATCTCGACTGGAAATGAAGAAGAGCAACTTCCTGGAAGAAACCTCTTCTCAATGGAAGAGGAATGCCCACGATATAGGAAGCAATTGACCATTTGGGTTGACGGAGACCTCTTCTTTGCTTATCTGGCCTTGGGTTGACGGGGAAATGAAGAAATTTTCCCTAAAAAATTAATAAAAGAACATAGAGTGTAATGAGATTCTTTCTTAGTTTCTTTTGAAGCAAGCAAAACAAAGCACTGTAATAAAACGATGAAAAACAGAGTTACGAAGATAACACAGGTGTTTAGCCAATCCTGCATCTACCCATGAAGGAGGTCAACGAGAGTAAAACTCCAAACTACAACTCAATACCTGAAAATCGCAGTCCAAGAACTTGAATTTTGACTCCAAAGCATCATAAAACAGAGGGAATAGTTTCCAATCAGCAATGGACTCCATTCCGTCCAGCGCTTCTAGTGCAACCTGAAATTCAGATTCTACTTCAGCAGATTGCAGAAGAAGCCACGAAGGCCTCTCTATCCACCATTAACGTTGGAATTGCTTCTCCCTCCATTGTTACAGTAATTTGATTTGTGAACCGCCACCCAACCAACGGTTTTTTATGCGACAGGTTCAGTAATAATCCCCTACGGTTATACTGGTAATAATTAGTTAGAGGCTACCCACAGTCTAGCTGCGCAGGTAGGTTGACGTGGCATATCATGATTGGCCCAGTATCGTCCTGTTACTGTAGAGGATAGGAACGTTAATAGAAAAGGAACTTTTGACAAAAAAAAAACGCTATTTTGTTGCTGATTGTTCTCGTATTTTGTTTGGCCAAGAAGAAAATAAATAATTATGTTGAAGACGACTTCTCTAAAGACCAAACTACCAGGGATGGGCTACCCCTGTTGTGTAACCCCATGAAGCGAAAAAAATAACTACCAGTCAAATTGAAAGATTTATTGGTTAACAGGCAGATAATAATGCTAGTAATAAACAATGATAGGCACATCACAATTTTGTGCCACATTTTCTCAAACACATGGAGTGTAATTAAACAAATGCAACTTGCCGTTTGTTGAATACCTAACCCTTTGTTGAACCCCGAAAACACTCCTCATTTAATGACTAAGGATTAGTTTAGTGTTTAGTGTGGTATATTTAAATGGAGTTGTTGCCGCGAAATCTAAGGGTGAGGGCAACAACGTAATTTTATGTGTCTGAGGCCTACGGGTTCAACCTATTGAGAGAAAGAAGGCGTTAGAGGCCCCGGGAGTAATCATAGGGGCAAAGGCTCCAATGGTTAGGTTAGCCGAGTGGTGTAAGGGGTCGGACCAAGCAAGAGAGGAAAGCTAGAGCTTAAGCCTTGTCTGTATGGATGCCCTTACCTCAATGTGGAATCCCCTTTTTATAGCCAAAGTTGTCTTAAGAGAGAAGCAGTTAGGAGCAATTGGAGGCAAATGATGATGGATGGCCTTGATGCATCTGATCGATGCCACATGTCAACATCTACAGGTCGGCTAGATGTCCCTACATCACTTTCCCCCCATTCTCGAGGTCGTAGAGGCCGAGGTTGGTTGGTGAGTTGTGTGGAGGCATCGGCTTCAATCGAAGAGAGTATGATGGAGTCACGAGGAGGTGCCAACCACAGCAAGAGAAGGTTCTTCTCAATAGTTGTGCACCGGCTGCTCCTCTATTTGCCCTTCGTGTCAATAATAAATCACCCCAGGCCGAGGGCGGGTGGCTGTGGCCCACACGGGTGTAGGCAGTCCGCACCCTTTGGTCGTGCCCTGCACGGGTGTTGGCGTCATCTAGTGCAGTTCTATATGTAAGACGGGTGTTGGGGTCAACTAGTTGAGGCCGTACACGAAACGGTAGGGGAGGGGATTCAGTTCCACATACCTTTGAGTCATCCCCTACTCTTGGCGTCATTTCATCTCCCCAAGGTCAGTGCCATGTGGATCCCATCAGTTCAAGCCATCAAAACAGCGAGTCTATGGCCGCTAGATTAATTAAATCTGGGTCGTACATTTTCCTTTAAATAGACGGGTTGGTTGAGTGAGACTTCACCATTTGCTCGGAATATTGAGTCTTGGAGCTACTACAGAGACCTCGGCTCTTGACAATCCGATTCCCCAACCTTCTTTTTCAAACAATCCCTAGGTAAAGATATCCTGTCTTCGACATGTCAGCCTCAGATTCTGGACATGAAGCCTACGACCTTCTTGACTGGAATGAACCCAGTAGTTCTACTTCCACCTCAGATAGTAGTGGAAGTGACAGTAGTAACTCCAAGAGCTCCTCTCATACGTCTAGCATCTAGGTGTTGAGGGAGAGGATTGCCCCTTGGGGGGCCGAGTGCAACCAACAAGGCACTGCTTTTGCTAATGAGAGCACCAGTTCCACGCGGCAAAGGGCCAATGCCACAGGAAATGCTCTTGCGCTTCCTAAAGTGGTGGATGTGGAGGAAGCCACCAAAACCAAGGCCGAGGCCAAGAGCCAAGGTGTGATGTTGGGCTGTTATCCCCGCTTTGACTTAGATAGTATTCTTGGCAAGGAGCAAATTAGGACTCTGGCCGAGAAGTATCACATCTTCGGAGACTATAGGGTTAGAGTCCCATGCATCGGTGACTGGCCATGGCTCGCTCCTAAAGGGGAAGTGTGTATTCGCGAGCATTATCTCCACTTCAACCTACGCTTTCCCATGCACCCTTTCATCCTTGAGATTCTGAACCACTACAAGCTCACCCTTAGCCAACTTGCTCTCAATGTCGTCAGGACGATAGTGGTAGTGTTGGTGATGGCCCACCTCTGAGATGTGTTTGTGACTCTAAACATATTTTGAAGTTTGTTCACACTAAGGAAACATCCCAATGGGGAAGGCTTGTGGTATTTCCAAGGCCAACGGGGAAATGTTGTGGACAACCCATTGTCCAATCATAGCTAGAAGAAGAAATTCTTCTTCGTTAGTTGTCCCAAAAGTTGGTCCTTTTGGTCCGGTTGGGGGGACACAAATACACTGGTCGAGAGGATCGCGTCACGTAACAGCGACAAGGAGAAGGCCGTGATGAATTGGCTTCATTTGAGCGGGACAATTCATGTCAGACCCTTAGTGAAGGAGGAGGTCTTGGTGATGGCCGGCCTTAATCCTGCCCCCCTTGGTATGGACACTCTTTCTGTCAGCTAGTTGTGACGGTATTTGATTTTTGTTGTCGTTTTTTAACTTGTTTATTTTTCTTGTTGGCAGAAATGGACGGTGACATGAAGGCTAGCCTATTAAAGGTAGCTACAAAGAACTGGAAGGGCCTGGCTGAGGGGATGCCATGAAGATTGAATGAGGTGAACCCACCTGGCCAAGGGGAGACATCGAGGCTAGGAGGAGGAAAGTGGTCATGCAGAAGTGGCCAGCTAAAGGTGTTCACAACCAGCGGGCGAAGAAGGTCTTAGTGAGGGACCGTAGGGCTGAGGACATCTCTGGGGGGTCTCGGCCTTCGACCACTCGTTATTCGGACCCCTTGACAATGAACCGCTAGTGCAACGCAAGATGTTCTATCCAATTTGGTACGTCCATGAGGGGAACAGCTTGAGCAATGCGGGTGTCGGCCATCAATTGGTGGTCGGCATAATTCCCTCAGAGGATCACCAATCCTAGACTCAACTCTCCGCCCAGGTCATTCGTAACATGTTGCTGGACAAGATAGCCGAGGTAGGACGAGGTCTTGTCTCTTTGGTTACGTATTCTGCCTTGGTTAGACATTTCCATTTGACACAAAGTTGTTCTTCTTTTGTAGGTGGCTTCTTGTGGAGTGGACCTCTACGATAAGATGGAGGTCATGGTTCAACAATTGTGCCAGATGCAAGAAGAAAATGAGCATCTGAAGCACAAGCTGGCCAAGGTGCAGGCCGGTTGAGAAGCAACCGATGGGAGGGCTCGCGAGGAGAACGAGTGCCAAATGAAGCTCGAGGTAGACGTGGCTGCAAAGAGAGAGCAACTCAGTCTATAAGGTCCACGCTGGAGTCCATGGATCAAACGCTCCAGGAGGTGTTGTCCTAGGCCGTGGAGGACAACAAGGCTTCGATCGAGCACAAGAAGGACTTGGCCTAGTTCGGCTCCATGGCCTACTTAGAGGGGTATCAAGACTTTTGATTCCATGTGTCGAAGTTTATCCTAGACTTCGACGTTAACCAGCTAGACCCCTTTGGCGAGAACCGGTAGGAGGTCGATGTCATGGGTGTGATTGAGGTTCAAGGTAGCGCTCACCAAACCATCGGGCAAGAAGCGGCGGCTGGGGATAATGCTGAGATCGATGTTCAGACTAGGGATGCCCAGTGAAGATTTTTGTACAAGGCCAAGGTGCCCTTGTTTTTATGTTCATTCTATGAACTTCTTTCTTTCTTCTCTTCTTTTTTTTTTTTGTTAGGAGCCAACGCCTCCCCCATAAGAGGTATCTCTTTTTTTTTTGTGAAGGCACTGGAGTTAATGGAACTTACGTTTCTTGTCAAAAGATGTTTTAAGGCATTTTTGTAAAGAAACTTGCAATTCTTAACTTAGTCATTCGTGGAGACTTTTCGCCCTAGAGACCTTTAGGCCAAGGCCAATATCAGTTACCAAGGTCTCAGAACATCTTGCCTTAGTGAAAAAAGGAGGGAGGTGACTACCTTAGCCAAGCACATGCCCACTCGCTCAATGTGTTCTTTCTAATAATCACATTTACATTTCTATTGATAATATATCTGGAGGTTTTTAGAGTTCCAAGTACGAGGCACCAGTCTTCCACTCATATATTCCAGTTGAAAGGTGTCGGGTCCTACTATTTGCTTGACTCTATAGGGCCCTTCTCAGTTTGGGATGAGCTTCCCAACACCGGGCTCATGAACCATGGCCTTTCTAAGGACAAGGTCATCTTCCTTGAAGTGATGCTCTTTAACTCGGCAGTTGTAGTATCTTGCAACTCTTTGCTAGTAAGCCATGACCCTGATCTGGGCTTGCTCTCGAATGCCTTCCAATAGATCAAGGTTATTCCTTAACTCTTCATTGTTCTCAACTTCTTGGTATGCTTTGGTTCGAAGCGTCGGTTGGACAATTTTTGTTGGGATGGCAACCTTTGTCTCATATGTCAAGTTAAAGGAGTTTCACCCATAGTAGTCCGAGGTGTTGTTCG